CAAGAAAACAAACTTCACAAGCTAAGCTCAAATTTGTGTTCAAAATCACTACTTTGTATTTGTACAAAATGATGCAACATGCTCATTTTTCTTCAGAAGTTAGATAAAATATGCCACTACTATGCCAAATGAGGTGATGCAGCTTTTTGGTGAAGAGCTTCAAAAATATCTCACTATATCAAGTGATTGGGCAACAAAATGGCAAATGAAATTTAATGTTGATAAATGTAAAGTAATGCACATTGGAAAAAATAATCCCAACTGTACATACAATATGATGGGGACTAATTTGGCTACAACTGTTCAAGAGAAAGATCTTGGAGTCACTGTGGATAGTTCTCTGAAAATATCCACTCAGTGTGCAGCAGCAGTCAAAAAAGCAAATATAATGTTAGGAGTCGTTTAAAAAGGGATAGAGAATAAGACAGAAAATATCTTATTGCCTCTATATAAAACCATGGTACACCCACATCTTGACTACTGCCTCATCTCAAAAAATATATATTGGCATTGGAAAAGGTCCAGAAAAGGGCAACAAAAATGAGTAGGGGTTTGGAACAGGTCCCACATGAAGAGAGATTAAAAAGACTTGGACTTTTCAGCTTAGAAAAGAGGAGACTATGGGGTGATATGATAGAGGACTACAAAATTATGACTGGTATGGAAAAAGTGAATAAGGAAAAGTTATTTACTTATTCCCGCAATGTAAGAACTAGGGGTCACCAAATGAAATTAATAGGCAGCAGGTTTAAAACAAACAAAAGTCAGTTTTTCTTCACTCAGCGCACAGTCAACCCGTGGAACTCCTTGCCAGAAGATGTGGTGAAGGCAACAACTTTAATAGGGTTCAAAGAAGAGCTAGATAGAATCATGGAGGTGAGATACATCAATGGCTATAGGGTAGGAAGGGTGTCCCTAGCCTCTGTTTCTCTGGAGGTAGGTGACAGGGAGGGGATCATGTGAGGATTACCTGTTGTGATCCCTCCCCCTGGGGCATCTGGTATTGGCCACTGTCGGCAGACAGCATACTGGGCTAAATGGACCTTTGTCTACCCCAGAATGGCTATTATGTTATGTTTTTAGAGTTCACTGGGACCAGTGATTCTCAACCTATTTATCATTGTCGGCTACTATACATCCCACCATGTATTACATGGGCCACAGGATGACAAGCACAGTCAAGCTCCCCCCAAATCCCTATAGTTTCAGTGCCCATCGCATGCTGCCAGAGACCCCACCATGGAGTGAGGCCAGGAGCGGATCCCTGGGTGCAGGGCTGGGCAGCTAGGGCCTGACTCCCCACCAAATAGGGCCTGGAAGTCAGATGCAGAACCCCACCTAAAACCTAATGGTGATGCAGCAGCCCTCCAAAACCCTGGTCCCACCTTCAATCCCATCACTGCCTAGAGCGCCTCTCTTACAAACCTGCCCAGAATCTCACTCCCCTGCACCATGATTCCCTCCCCCACTCACCAGACCCATGCTGGCAGGAGCACTCCAGCAGGCTGCCAGATGCTGTCTCCCCCTCAGCCAGCCTCACCCTCTTGGCAGACCGGAGCACAGATTTTGAAATTATTTTTTAGCACGCAGCTGAGTGCTAATTTGGCTGTATTTGGGTCATGGGTTGAGACTGTGGATGTCTAAAAAGAGGTTTTGGTATCAAAAACAGTAAGGAATATTCATCGTGACCTATAGATGACTTACGATAATCACGTTCAGCTGTTTACAAACAGCTCAGTTGAATAAATAAATGACACGTACTGCATTTTCCCACTTACAAAGACTTACAATGAACAATATTGATTTTTTACTAATACTCATGCACCTAATGACCTTTTAATGGCATCTGCTATGCTGTTTCTTTTTGTGTTCCAATGACATTTCCCCTCAGTAATGTAAAACATTTTAATTGCTTACTGAATTTTTTTCCAGATCTTTGTAGATAACCACAGCCTGCTGATTGAACAGAAATTTACAGTTTTTTTTTTAATAACAGTCTATCATGAATGTATTTTACAGGAAGAACAGTAGTGGTATATTTTAAAAGGTGTCTCTTTTATGATTTATGTCAAATCAATTTTCTATTGTCTTATTTTGTAGCTTGTCCTTACTTAGTATTTTCAGAGTATAAAATAAAAGATATCTCTGACAATAGTCTAGATATATTAACTATGTCTTCTGATTTTTATCAGGTTTTCTATGCCTTACTATGTCATTGGGTGGAAGAGGGCTATACGAGCTACTGGAGTCATTGAAATATATTTCTGATGCCCTGTAACCTGCTAAAAATGTCTTAATACAATGCAAAAAATCAAATTATGTTTAATTGTCTCTCTCTGGAGGCTTTCCTTGTTGAGACAAGATAGTGTTATCTTACACCAGGCTGTTTGTTTTTTACAGCTTATCTTATTCTACTAGGTTAGCTTCTACAAAAAAATTAGCTTTTGAATGAGCTCTTTAAGTACCAACTATTTAAAGTGATAGTAGTTCTTTTTGACCAATAAAACAGAATTATGTTTGTTCTTGGAATTTATATTAACATCATTAAGATTAAGCATCAAATTCAGAGAAAGCAGGTACTGAGGTATTAATTTGAATTACTCTGACTTGCACAAGGTTTGAGTTTTGTCCTCCTGTGTCCCTTTTTAATACGAAGAGGTTGTAGTACATTAGTATTCTCATAAAGCTTCTTATGTTAAACCTATTAATAAGGATTATGCATGATATTTTATTATATGCATTGCAGGTGGCAGCGTGTTACAGATGGTCTGTTCTAATTTGATACAAAACAAAAAGATCCACGTGTTCCTGGGTACTCCAAACAGGAATTGTGATGTAATTCCCAAATCTCTAAAAGGGGGTACTTCGAGAGTTACCATAACAATATCAGCCAGTCATTGTCTCTGACACTAGGATATTATTCTAGGAGTTTTTAGGGAGTAATAACCAAAATATAGGATCACCATATCATTTAACTCGGTCAATGGGTAAGAATGTGTTAGCTGTTTACCAGGATATCTATGTTTCCTCTTCTCATAAGTGACTGGAATGAATGCATGTTCCAAACGTTGTTTGGCATGTATTTTTAACAGTGCAACACTACGTGAAATAGGATATGTAGCAAAAAAACAAACAAACGAAAAAAGGATCTTAGGTTTAAAGTTCTGAGGGTTAACTTTTAATTGTATTGATTATATATAATATGAGGTGAAAGTAAAGATTCAGTACTCTAGATGTCACATACTGCAGGAAAAGTTTTCATGGAAGTACTGCTCTATATGTAACAAGAGGAAAGAATACGAGTTCTTTCCTCATTGCAGTGCCACATACTGTACCAGTATAAACCAGAGGGTTGCAGTTCTTTAAATAACTAAAACAAACATGCAGTGTAGATTTAAGTAATAAAAGGGGAAGTTATGTTTCACATGTATGATAAACCTATATGCTTTAAACAGACTTCCATTCATAGAACAAGCTTGCCAATAACAGGAGCTATGCTTCAGTACCTTTCATTTTGCACTTTGAAAAGAAACCTCTTATTAATCTCGTTTATTTTCCAAAAGGGAAAGAAAATGCTATGGCATATTGTCAGAGCTGCTTTACTATCATCATTTTAAAAGGTCATCTGAATTAATTGACTTCTCCTGTACATAGTATTATACTACCCCTGATATATTTATGGGAAGGTGACAGGTATGCAGCAGTTCACTGTCTTTTCGTGTTTGTCTTCACTGTAATTTGAAAAAAAATAATTCTGAAGTTACAGTTATACAAGCAAATAATTACTTTGCCACAGAGTAACAGATTCATGTTGTTTTTGTAAGGTGAGCAGCAGGGGAAGAGAAAAGGACTCTTGGAGTCATGAAAACGTTCAGCAGCTTAAACAGAAAAGCTATGTAAAAGGCTTTGGAAGCACACATTAGACAGCTAATATCCCCTTTGCATGAAGAAAAAACTCTTAACCTAGCTTTTACTGCTGCATAAGTCACTGAATCATGTATGCTGATGGACTTTACTCACAATGTTTTCACCTTAAGAGATTTATACCAAAGCCTTTCCTTATATTGGGTGAAAGGGATGAAGCACACATACTAAGCCACACTTAATATAGCACGATATTTCATATTGATTATATGGAAAATTGTTATCACTTATTCCCTACTCTTTTCCCTTTTCCCCTCTCCCCCAACATCATCTGTGAGAGGCTTTTCTTATTCTGAACAGCAATGTTGGGCAAAAACTAGACATCTGAAAACAAACATTTTTTGACATAAATTGAACAGTCTAACTGTAGCAAGCGAGGCAAGGGGAAATACAGCAATTGATTTAAACGAATAATCTTAAATAAAAAATGTTCTTTAGAGCCACCCTGCTGTGGTCTTGTTAATTACCGAGGAGATGAGAATTGTTTTGCTTAATGTTACCCTTTTTCCCTACCATATGTCAGTTCTAGCTACAGTAATATCTAGACCTTCACACTGTCCCTTCTGACTGGTAAGGGGATTTGTTTTAGGGGAAGTCATTTGCCACAATCCCTAAGATGTAGCCTGGCAGAAATTCAATAGCTGTTTGTGATATGCTCATTCAGCTTTGGTGCTCAGTGGCTTTAGGTCCTGACATACAATGGCATTTGCCTTAATCCTATTGAGGGTGGAGGGGGGAGAGAGAGAGAAATAGCTGTCCTGTGTCTTGTTTTATTGGTTTCAAAACACAGAGCAACTGTGTAATTTGATTTGCTTTGCAAAGACTGGGGAAAATGTTTTTAAATCCTTTGATGTTCTTTCAAGCTAGCAAATGCACACATCTAAGAGACCTGCAAACACATTTAGATTATCTCCGAGCCAAAAGGTGGCTGCATTTGTATTCTGAAGGTAAAGTAAAATTTAGAAGGAATCTAATAGAATAAGTTGAGGAAAATAAGAAAAGGTGGGATTGGGTAAATGAAAATATAAACAGTACAACACATTACACACACACATATATGTTATAAACAAACTTACCCTGCAAGAGTAGTTTCAAAGCTGGAGGACTTCTGCATCTGTATTTTTGGATTCCTTAGTTCAGGTAACCACATTCTTGTGTTAATGCCAGGGTATGAAGAGTTGCATGTGTATATATAGTATATGATACATTTATCTATAGATATCCTACAAAATGAGAGAATCTCTGTGCTGCCAGCTGAGATCCCTTATGTTTGCCAGAGCTCTGTGCTGCCTGGCTGTGGCTCACAATCCAGTGAAGAAAAAGATGCCTGCTAGCTCTTCGTATTTCTCCTTGTTTCCATGGTGGTTAGAGCTGCATCGTTCACCCGATCAGTTGTCACACTGACATGGTGCTGCCTGCTCAGCGGTCATTAATAACTGAACATCCTCCACTCCCCAGAGAGGAGCCAATAGCTTCAGAGTGCCAAGATGTAGCACTCGCAGCTGCTCCAGTCTGGTTGGCTGAAAAATCCTGTCTGTTATATGACATTGCTGCTTAGGGTATGAATAAAGGAAACAAGTCTTTATATGTTTCTGGGTATCTCCTGATTCGGGGAGTGTATGGACCAGTGCTTTCATATTTTTGTGGGACAATGTTAGATATTTAAATGAATCTTTAAGAGATTCAGGATGGGTATCTATGCTCAAAGCCATTGATCAGAGATAAGTAAACTTGTGGCTAGGTTGCTTTAGTTCAAAAGACACCACATACACACTGACATCTTTTTTTGTAAAGCATTTTATTTTACTGTCTTTTTGTTGTGTTCCTTAATTTTGGACAGCATTCTGATCTATTTCTTTCTCACTTTTTAAAAACAAAAATATTAAAGTTTTTGTGCATTGATTGGTTAAAATAATTTTTACAAATGTAAAATGTAGTATTAATAAAAGGAAGAAAAGATTGTTTTTTAATATTTGGTTATTTTTTCCTCGCCTGTCCACTTCACTGGTTATTGTATGGCCATTTAGCAAAAAGAAGCAACTGACTGTACAGAATTTTCTTTTCTTTTTCCTCCTCATATTTTCTTTAGTACTTTGGGGACCATTACAGTGGAAAAGACATTGTGTGTTTGCTCTTACCTTTACCTTTGTAAGCAAAAGGCAAGCAAACTACAGTATGTAGCTGGGCTGGCTTCTGAAGTTACAGAATATTTATTGAATATGTTTTCTAAAAATATAATACCTCTTTCCTTCCCAAACAACAAAACTAGGTGGATCTTGCTTAGAAAAAACTCATTGCAAATACTGTATTGTGATTAAAAATTATTTTGTAATGAGGGACAAAGAGTAGTGAATATAAAGCCCAGTTTATCAACAGGTGAAAACTAGAAAGGATTTAGCTTCTTGCATAAATCTCCTACTATCACCCTGACTGAGACAGGCCACCCTCTAGTGGAATACAATGAAATGTGGGTTTCATTTCATTTTCTTCAGCTTTGTTTGAAGAAAGATTGACAAGTCATGTCTAATTGTGTGAGGGATCAATGTCTGTTTCCAAAATGAAGCAGCAACAAAATGCCGCAGTACTATTAAAATCATAGTTACTGTTTTGTGAGCACTAAATATCACACTGGATCTCAGATTATAGGTTTTATTCATTCCCTGAGGAGTTGGTTTTATGCTTTATAAAGTTGCTTATTTTATAACATGTGATTTAAAAACAGTACTAAATACTTGGAATAAAAGTCCCTTTGGAGTAACATGTTAACAGCAAATAGGTGCAAAACCTACACGTTATTTGCTTATGCTTTCATTAGCAGTGTGAAATTCATATCTTGATTTATCAAAAATATGTCAATACTAATGACGAGAACATCTTTTAAAAGCTGTTTAAAGGTACATGCAGGTCTCTTCTTATTTTTATATACATGCACATGCATGCACACACAATTTCAATGAATCATTCATGAGTACTTATAGCTGTATACTTCTGTTTTCTAAGTAACATAGTGTGTGAGATTCATGCAGAAATGGATGCAATGATCTGATATATGAAATTCATATTATATTTTTACTACAGAAGTGCTTAATTTTGGTTGATTGATATGGACTATATAATTGGAGGCTAAAGAATTAAATCAATTATGGTGCACTTGCATAAGGAAAGTGTTCGTCTGTATGTAATTAAAATACTTACTTGATTGACATATATAGGAAACTACAATTTATCTGATATTTAAATAAGAATCTATTTTAATGTTATTAAAGAAGAGAAATAATTTAATTTTCATTTCAGCTGATACCAAAGATTTTTTTAAATATGTTTTCAAAACACTTGCAACATAAAATACATTTTATAGCTGATACAATTATGATGATTAAAGTTCATTAGAAGCTCTTTTCATGCTGATTTCACCAACATGTTTGGTAGTTTTAAAATAGAAATGTTATTTATGTAATCACATTTATATATAGCTTATTAGATTTTTGTCTACAATTTTTTCCCCTCAGACTGTGAGGTGAGGGGCAGGGTGAGGGAGTAAATAAGATGTGCAAACATTAAAATTAAGTTTGTTTTCATTGGGTTTTACATGCTAGGGGAGTGAGACATCAGAACAAACCCAGTAATTATTGGTTGAAATGGAGAATTAGTGTTATCATCTGGGGGTGTGAACACTCTTCTCTATAAGGAGGGAGGGATGTTGCATTTTTTTCCTGTTATAACATATGGGCATAATGTAGAAAAGATGGAGAAGCACTTTACTAGATTATTAATGTGATGTGTGTTTATGGTTGTTAAGAGAGTTGATGGTGACAAGACTTTTATTACTAGCATTATTTGGAAATTAGCTCTCTAAATGCACACAGAACTGTGTTGAAGAGATAAGCAGAAGTATTTAGAAAGCTTAATGAAATTTACATTCTATAAGTATGTTAAAAGAATGTTTCTTAGGTTGCAAAGTCAAACACTTGAAAATTAGGAAATGTCAGATTTAAGGTTTCCATGAAATCTTCATTCTGCCTCTTTTTGCATCCAACTTGTGAATGAATGAGGCAGACACTCTGTGGAAAAACTAGTTTGTGAATGTGTAAATAATACAAATAATGCATACACACAAGAGGGCTGAACTGAGGCTGCCTGAGGAATTGTAAATCTGACATTTCCTAACTTTTGAGGGCTTTTTGCAATGTTAAAAACATTCTCTTAATGTAGGTTCTTAGGTATGTAATTTTCTAGGTGTTTAGTTGCTTAAAGGAAAAAAATAATTTCCATTTGTTACAACCAGGCACATCACCTGCAAGGTTTGAAACCTAAATCTTCAGTACAGCTTGATCTACTGAACTAACTGTAGCTGAGCACTGGTGAAGCCTATTATCTCTGGTAGGGAAATGGGCCACAGGGCCATGTGCTCGATCTGAGTGGAGGGAGCTCCCGTCAATGGGCACAAGTACTGTATTCAGGGAGGGTTGTGGTGAGGAATAATGGCAGCCTTGCTTAGCTTTCTCTTCAGCCTTTCTCTGTAGCAGATCTAGCAGCTCAAAGGAGGTTCCACTACTGCATGTGTGCCGCTCTTTGTGTGGTGACATGCAGAGCTGGTCTTAGGGGCGAGCGAGCCAGGCGAATGCCTGGCTGTCATTTTCAAGGGACTACTGACAGAGCCAGTCTTAGGGGCAGGCTGCGACTGCTTTTTGGCCCGACCTCCTGAATCCTTCTTCCAGGTTTCTCTGGTTACTCCCCAACCTCCCCCCCCTTTTTTTTTGCTTGACAAATTTTTGTCTGGTATTTTTTTAAAACCATCCGGCAACCCTATGGGTGAGCCGGGCAGTCGCCCAGGGCCATCAATTGGTTAGGACCGGCCCTGGTGACATGGGCCCACCCTTAGAATGTTAATGTTCACAAATTATTGCGGTACTTTGCCAGCATTGTCCTGAGGAAAATAAGTGAGGAAAGGGCTATTTATATTTCAGCCAAACATGAACAAATTTTAAAGTGACAAAAAGGGCATATTTCTAGACATACAGGGTTTTTTTTCTGAATTTCAAAGCATTGCTGGTATTAGAGCTTTTAAAAATGTTTCCAAGAATTAGTCCCCCTAGATATGGATGTTGCCACTAACTGCTCTGTTGGCAAGTACTGAGGAATATTGATACTAAAAGGGTTGTGATTAAGCAGAAGGACATAAGAAATTTAAACCACAGTCCTGTAAAAGGGATCCCTTTGTACTTACTCAGACATCATTGTAAAGACTCATTAAATTCCAGTGGGACTCTATACGGGCATAAAAGCTCAACCAAATATATGTCCTGGCAAGATGGGCCTTACTGACCAGCACAACAAGAATAAATTTCTTGTATGTTTAAATCTGAAGGGGACTTATGTGAGGTTGAATATGGCATTCATTAATGATCTGTTGCTTAAGAAGATAACTATGCATGCTTGTTTCCCGCTGTGCTCAAGTTCCTCATCAAATGGCAACTGTGCTTCAGATGTTGGAATTCAAAATAAAGACGTAGGGCAAACTCCTGGATTATGCCAGAACTGCATTGAACACAGCTCAGGGCCAGTTGTCTGCAATGTTGACTGTACTGGAATTGGCTTGGTGGCTGGGTGCAGCTTGGAAAAATGTCAGAACTATAGGTTGAACCTTTCTAGTTTGGCACCCTTGGGACCTGACCAGTGCCGAACCAGAGAATGTGCCAAACCACGGGAGGTCAATATTGTCTAGCCACATTATCAACACTTCCACTGCTTACTGAGCTCTTGGAAGACATTTAAGGGTAAATTAGAGCTAAATAACAGCACACAACACTGACAGCCAGGACTGGTGGGCATAAACAAATGTTATAGGATTGCAGGAAATTTAGCCACATGATAAGTGGACATCTGGACATCTAAAATCATGTTGGACAACAGATGTTGTCATACCACAGAATGTCAAACTAGAGAGATAGAGCCTGTAGAATAATTTATGATCAAGTGCCCCTGACCCTAAGTATGGATTACAACAGCCAGGGATCTGTTCTTACTCCCTTTCTTTAAACCATGCCCCTTTGGAGGCTAAAAGGCAGTAGAATAGAAAAACAGCACTGCTTTCTGGATCACCTGGGAATTTCCCTTATTCAAGGGTAATCTGGAGGGAGCTACAGTGGTGCAAACCAGCCAGAATGTAGTGGAACTTAACAACTAGTGTTCAAGCACGATCCAAGAGTTGGATTCAAGCACAATCTGCTCCTTCCATGTTAAGATCATTTTTGCCCTCCTAGGTGTATTGTGCCTCTTTTGTGTTTGCTTTTCATTTTCTGACACTCAGGGTACATCTAGACTGCAAGCTTCTTTCGAAAGAAGCTTTTTCGAAAGAGAGCATCCTGACTGCATGGACGCTCTCTCAAAAGAAAGCCCTGATTGTTATTCACAGAATGGCCACCAGGGCATCTGTGCTTTTT